AACCCAGTCCAGTGGTAGCTGCTAGGCAGCCGTCCCAATCCTATATACACAGGGCATGTCAAAAGTGCCTTTGAAGACACTTTTCCCCAGGACAGGCTGGGTCTGCGGGAGGGAGGGAAGGCACAGCTGCGAGGGGTCTGCATATATGTGCCAGAGGCTGCTCTGGGCAGAGGCCTGTGGCCAGGCCGGGAATGGGGAGTGGGGCCGCGGCCACCCCTGGCGTGAAGGGCACTTGGAGTTTCTCTGGCTGGTGGGGCTTGTGGCTCTGGCTGACAGAGGGAGCAAAGGGGGGGTCTTGTGGCTTTTGCTATGGGGGTGGGTGGAAGGAGTGGAGCGGAGGGCTAGACTCCCTCAAAAGGGGCTCCCCCTGCTGCCCATGCACCCATGCCTCTGGCCTACCTGGGAGATTTAAAAAGGCACAGGGCTTTCTGGCTGCCACTACTGCAGCAGTGGCTGGGCCCTTTGGTCCTTTAATTGCCCTGGCCCCTGGGCAATTGCTCCAGCCCCTGGGCAACTGCCCCCTTTGTCTTCTACCCATTGTCAGGCCTGTGTAGATGCACCCTAAAACACTAGAAGGATTCTGAGTGAGCATTGCTGTTTAAGACATGAAAGCAGCACGTTAAGCTTAGCTTCTAGAATGCACTTGGGCTTCATCTAGACTGGCATCATTTTCTGCAAATGCTTGTAACGGAAAAGTTTTCCGTTAAAAGCATTTGCGGAAAAGAGCATCTAGATTGGCATGGACGCTTTTCTGCAAAAGCATTTTTTGCAGAAAAGCATCCGTGCCAATCTACACACTCTTTTGCGCAAAAAAGCCCCGATCGCCATTTTCGAGATTGGGGCTTTTTTGCGCAGAACAAATCTGAGCTGTCTACACTGGCCCTTTTGCACAAAAGGACTTTTGCCCGAATGGGAGCAGCATAGTATTTCTGCAAGAAGCCCTGATTTCTTACATGAGATCGTCAGTGTTCTTGCGGAAATTCAAGCGGCCAGTGTAGACAGCTGGCAAGTTTTTCCACAAAAGCAGCTTGCCAGTCTAGACACAGCCTTTGTGATTTTGTTTGCTATATAACCATTTCCATTATTGCTGCCTGCAATCCCTTGGATCTCTCTGCTTTGTTAAATACACTTGCACTTGTTTTCACTCTCCACATTAAAGTGTGGTGTGTCAAGCAGTGGTGAGCTGAGGGGAAGCTGGTAAGCTGGGATGTTGTACATCAGTGGAAGAACTTAGTGGGTGAATATTGTGAGTATCCAGTTGACCAGGGGCTTGGGCTAAGGGTCTCTTTAATTGCCAGGTACACAGTTGGGTGTGAGCTGGCTAGCACACAGGCCCTGGCTCTTCTGAGGTTGGAAGGGCCGCACCATCAGACCCCTAGAAAGCAGGAGCTTGCCTAGTTAACCTGCAGAGAGCAGGGCTGCTGGGCCTAGAGTGCAGCGTCGTGGAGCCGGGAGCTGATCACGGGGTACATAGCAGAGTTGTTGGCTTGAGTCCCACGACTTGAACTCGAGTCTGACTTAAGTTGCCTAGGTGACTCGACTTGAGACTTGACTCGGGTTCATTGTTTGTGACTTGCAACTTGCTAATTTTGTTAAATCCACTTGGTGAAAAAATTGTCCGAAAATGCCGATATTGATGGCTTTTAAAAAAGTGACTTGACATTTTTTAAATGAAGACTTGGGACTTGATTTGGGACTTGACTCAAAAGTGATTTTAGGGACTCGAGACTCGACTTGAGACTTGAACTGTAGGGACTTGAGACTCGACTTGGACTTGACAATGACGACTTGAAGACAACCCCGGTACATAGGCCCGAGGCTCCAGAGGGATCCCCCTGTCCAATCTGTAGGGACCCCCACGGGCTCTCAGGTTTACGTGCCATCCCTGGGCGCGCTGTTCCCATTACGGGGCTGTGCCTCGCTCCGGGGTCAGGGCCCTGCATGCAGACAGGCGCAGGATGGGGATGTGCTCGCCCGTGCCGGGTACTGGCGTGGCAGCGCCCGGGGGCGAAGCGCGTCTCTTCCCGCTCAGCACTCCCCCCGGTCCCGCCCCTGGGGAGCGG